GAGATTTGCTGTGTTCACACAGACGGTGCAGCCGGGGCGCAGGGAGGGGCGTGCTGTGGATGTAAGCACACTCTCGCACACAGACTAAATAAAGACCCTGAGAATTCCCTCTGGAATATTCTTCACAGGTGCTCTCAAACCATCACACACACCTGGTGCAAGGAGTGTGGCAGCAGCGTGTAGTCGCTGTTTTCTCCGAGGGATCGCAGGGAGGCCAGCAGCTCTGGGGTGGGGCCCTGCGACTCATCTCTGGAGACACTTTCTAAAAACATGAAGCACAAACATGATGTGAAAAATGATCAAATCAGTGAGATTTCAGTGTTTTCTCATTATTTTACTGTGACCGGTCAGCTGCAGAAAAACTTGTTGTCTGGATTATTACCAGTTTCAACGTCTGTAAACCAGTTCTTAAATGCCTTCTGTGGCCGTGGAGAAGCTTTCTCAAGTGTGATGTCACCACTATGCCATCAGGTCTCTGTCGGAAACCTAATGACAGAAAACCTACGATCCAAAAGAATCTGGAAGTCCGTCAGGAGGAGAGCGCCTAACAAAGAGTCCACTCTGGTGTGTAAGCGACAACAGCTACACTCAGACAGTTTTCACTTTCAAGAGTCAGATGACAGAACAGTGAACAGTACGTATAACAAACTGAAGAGTGCAGACACGGGGAATCAGCTACACGTGTCTACAGTCTGTATGCTGATCATCAATCACAGTCCGGCCCTTCATAGCTACCATACGACAGTGAGATCAGTCTCCCAAGCAGCATGAAACATATTTTTTCCAACACACAACCTGTGTGTACAGTGTACACGTGTATTACCTGTGCAGCATTCACAGAGAAGTGCCCACGCTTACACAAACCTGTGAATCTATTCTAAAATGCTCATTAGCATGTTCAAGCAGCATGTGAGAAGATGCGGTCTTGGTCCGTCTTGGCACAAATGTGTCACAGTGCAACACAGCAGCGAGCCAGAGCTCAGTACTGTGGGGAAGCATCAACTTTGTGTTTTCGCTGTCGCAGTCTTGGTGTTTTAGGACTGCACGTCACTCTGTGAAGTCATGTGACCAGTGGGACAGCACACAGTGAGACGAGGCGACCTTCCTGCAGGACCCTGGTGCTACATATAACAGACAATCAATACAGGACTGCATGAAGTGCAGTTTGTGCAAAAACTGTGAAAAAGCAAAAACAACAAAACAACAGCAACACACTGAGCATGTGCAGAAAGATAGTTGGTGTGTGAAGCTATACAGACTGAATATCAGGATCAGACTTTAAACCGCATCACAAAAGGCTTTGTGTAGGTTGTTTGTTAAGGCTGTTCTTACACACACACACACACACTTACAGTAAGTATACTGTAAGTGTGTGTGTGTGTGTGTGTGCGTCGCGTCCTGAGAGAATACTTCAGAGCCACCTGACAAACCATCACAGCCTGCTCGATGATGTGAATTACAATTAGGACGATCAGCTGCAGCTGTTTGGACGTTACAAGCTGATCTTTGTGGAGATCACCTCCAGCTTTACCTTTCCTGCTGCAGCCTAACAGTCTATGGGGAGTCAGGGTGTGCCGACACACGACAGACTTTAAACTGTGCTGCAAAGCTCTTAATCAGCAGGCCTCACTCTGCTTTATTTGAACATGACAAAGTGTTTCGATCACATATTTGAACGACACATTTTAAATGCCTACACTCGCTGACATGAACAGAAGGATAACATCTGCTGAGGTGCTCAAACTTTAAAAAGCAGCTTTTGTGAACGACGTTATAAGAGGATGGAGACTTTTACCCGTGGCACTGCTGATGAGTCCTTCGTCTGGTTGTGTGGCCGCGGCTTCAGGGCCTTTGGGCAGGTTGGTGTTTTTGTTACCCATCTCCTCTGTCGCTGCAGGAGTCGCCTGCCTCTCGTGGGCCGTGGCTGGGCCTTTCCCCTCACCCTCACTGAAAAACGATTAACTGTGTCTAATGTTGATCAGCGTTCTTCCACGTCGGTATCCCACTAACCTCTGGTGAAGACTCAAGAGCACCTGAGGCCTCAGCAGTGGTTTGGGATGACTCTTGAGGGAGCAGGTGATTTAATCCTGCATAACCTCTCCTGGGTGGCCGAGAACGGAGCGGTTTGAAATGTCCACACAGTGAAAGCAGGCGGGGCTGTGAAGGACGTAGTTCCCTGCCCTGTCCTCCGATCCCGCTTTATTTGTCCCTTTTCTCTCTTACACAGAACTCCCTGGAGCCTCCTTCCCACATCCCCGTCAAGCTGTCAAAAGAATAAGGAGAATTTTAGAAAACAAATTAAAACATCCCGCTTGCCTTGCATATTTACTACCAAACCAGAGAAAAAGAGACTTACATATAAGCACTACAGCTGCTTAAACAGCAGCTCTGGGATGTGTTTGTGTCTAAACCACGACAGATAACAGAGGGGGGGGGCTCAGTGGGCTCAGTACCAAGACTGCACTCTGTACACTATGTTAGACTCAGTTCTTCTTACAGAAAGTGCAGTTTGGGAAGTGGGGCTCATTTCTGCAGGCGACATGTTGCATGTAGTGGGACAAAGTCCTGCCCGGTGGACCAACCAAAGCAGCGTAATGACCCGCCATCAGCAGGCTTAACGATGGTGTCTGCGCAGCCCCTGTAGGTGTAAAGTGTTGGTCCTGCAATACTTTTGTCCATATAGTATAGAATACAATAGGAATGATACTACAAACTGACACAAATATAAGTTTCCTTTCAGGAACAGCTGATATGTGTCATTTACAGCTCCATATTTTCACTCCTGGTGTTGCTTTGCACGTGTCAGTTTTTATACTGTGCACTCTCTGAAACCAGCTGCTCTAGCTCCTTTACCCTCCCTCTAAGCCCCCTTTCTTGTGACTGGCTGCCCCTCAAAAAGCTTTCATAGCGAGTGGGCGGGGCTTCCGGGCTCAGAATCCAAGCTACGTGCCTGAGATGGCCATATCGGGGTGTCTGCTTTCAGTAACATCATACAGAGACAAGAGTTGATTTGCTGATAAGTGATGCAAGTGCTCGACAGAAAATCTGGATCTCTTTGAAATCCTTTTGTTTTTCCTCATCAGTCTTTGCACAAGTTTTGCATAAGAGTGGGAAATGTGAGGTACAAGCATTTACAGGCCTTAAGTGTTAGCAAGGGTAGCAACACCTGACCCGAGGGCTTCTTACACCATGTTCACCATGATTCACCTGTGACCTTTTCCACAATCACTCACCTGTCACTGTAATTCCTATTAGGAGAAACCAAATGCTTGTAAAGTTGAGGTGGGAATTCTCTTGTTAATGGATTCATGCTTAGCTTTTATTTTTTTAATTTAACTGGTGCTTGGAAATAAACTGCAGAGAATGGCTGTTCTGACATTTTACATTTGAATCATTTTCTTGGAGTTCTGTGCCGCAGTTAGCTTAGCATGGATTAGCAAGACTAGAAATAACAGGAAACAACAACTAACCCAAATGCACTCAAGAGACAACCCAAGACTTCACCTTGTATCTGTTTCCCCTACAAAGCAGTGCTAGAGCCCAAACGAGAACCAGTCATATTTGCCAGAAGAAAAACAAAAAGACTTTTCTAATGCCAGAAAAATAATGGTGGTCACCAAATAGGAACCTGGCTAATCGCTGGCTGTGGAAATTCAACAAGGATCAGCAGATCCACATATTGTAACACCTATGTCCCAAAATCAGTCAACAAACTTATCAAAATGTGGTTTGAATCTGAAAAGACCTCAGGGCAGGAAGAGGTACAGTTGTGTAAAAGTATTCACAGGCCTCGCTGAAATACTGAGGAAACTGCAAGTGTGAACGCTTCTATAAATCTGTTTCTTTGCTAATCTGGACCATTCAGGTTAACCCCAAAGCCTCAGAACTACATGCCAGGCTCTCTCTAAAAGTTCATGATAAAACACTTCACACTCTGAACCCTTTTGTGTTATAAACTGGAATTAGATCAAAGTGCAGTCCGGCTCTAGATGATCTCTTCAGCGTAACACAGTGATGTTTCAGATATAGTTGTTTCTCCCACTTCTGTGGAGAGCTTCGGCTAACTTTGGAAGGAACTCATTTCAAACCTAAGAATTTATAAAAGCTCCCTATAAACCTTAACACCAAACTGATCTTTCAGTTGATCTTTCTGAGTTAAC